ATATCAAAAGTCAATCAACTTATATTTATAATTTTAAACATTTAAACACATACCGATCCCGGTGTCAGGAGATCCAACATGTATATATACTGAACCAATACATGTGTCGATAATTCGATGACACAAAATTGATCTCTTCACTTACAATAATACTTTAAGTTTGTAAAGTTGTGACTATATTAAAAGAATTAAGGTTATGACACAGTGAAATAGTTAGATTGACGTACTGTGCAGGTAATGATCGTCCCACAAACTCATGTTTCGTGATGTGGCAACGAGATGGAGCCATGCTTGGGAACTGATCCCAAGTCCATACTTGAAGAAGTATGATCGGACCAGCAATGTCTTGCGAATCAGACCGACATGCCTTGCATAAATGTCGATACAACCATGTCAAGCATGTTCTTCCCCAACTGAATCGTCCAGCAATCTCAAAATTAGCTAACAACGGAAGGAACATCAAGTGGACCAAGTTATTAGACTTATCGTGAATAGGATACCACCGATAAGTATCAAAATGTAAGCACGAGCATATCCAGCAATGGTTTTCTTGTCAGAATTGTGATCTAAGTTGCAGAACTAAGAAGCTAACCATTGTAAACTAAGTTTAGATATTTTATGTGTGAGTCATCTGGAGTCGCATCAAGTAATACTTGGCAGGTGGCTTTCCAATCATAATGTACAGTCTCTGTAATGGCTCACCATCTACTGGTAACCAAGCTGCACCGCTACGTCTTAGAGAGTTATAGTGCATTCACCGTTAGGTATGTGGGAAAGTATGAGTCTCCGACCTCCACCGCTCTACAAGCGTAGTGATCAAGTGCCAATCTAATTGAATAAATCCAAGTTTGACAAATCCATAAAAGTCGGAAGCACGAAGTGCTGGCTCAATCAAGGGATGCGGTGGAATGGTGCGATAAAATACCGCCTCTCTTCGCCGTTAGTACAACTCCTCGTTACACTAACTTTCCCAAACTAGTTCTGATCGATGGTGAACTTGACAATACAACACTAATTGATCTATCGAACCTGGGTTTAGCTTCATAGTTATTACCATAAGCTATGTCATTATGTGGAATAAGATCCATGATATGAAATCACTATGTCATGCATTGAAAATTTAAATGAAATGAAATCATAATGTCATCATTGAATATTTAAATAAAATGAAATCATAATGTCATCATTGAAAATTTAAACAAAAAGATAAAATATTACAATGACATAAAGATAAAATATTACAATAACAAAAAAAGTACAATCTACTACGACGACGCTTCCCTCTGTCTTGAAGGACAACTTCTTTGATTGTGACCAATTTGGTTATAAAACCCGCATCTTTGTTAGACACTAGGTTCTCTCCAATCCATCTCATTATGAATATGAGAACTTCTTGGTTCAAATTGATGAGCGTAGCGTGCAACATAATCTGCAAGTTTTTAACAATCATTGACATAATCCTTGTAGTTTACGTTTATATGGGAGCAAACTGCCATGAAATGACTACATGAGATGTAAAATGATTGCCACTTGTTGAATGTACATGAACATTCATTCGCATTGAATCTCACTATTGGTATGTTTCCTCATTTTGAATTATAGTAGTGAATTCCTGTCTTCACATAAAACACACCAACAACCCGATCATATATCTCTACCGTGTGTTTGGTGGATCTCATCGCCCATTTAAGAAGTTTATCGTAAGCATACGTGTTTGAAGACATATGATCATAAGCATACTCGCATTTAAGAAGCAAGTCATAGAAAGTATTAATAATGAACTAAAGATTACCTTGTATACTTTTCATTTCTCGTTAAAGCATTTCTTGCTTCTTCCATTCTCATCTCGAAGTACTTAACACATCTTAAAAATGTAAGTTGTACTAATGCAGTGATAGGTAACATACGAGCTCCCTTCAGGACCCCATTAATATACTCTGAAAGATTGGTAATCATCCACCCATATCTGTACCCACCATCACGTGATTATGTCCACTTTTCAATTCCAATATTGTGGAAGAAACTCATGCCGGTGCTATTCATTGAATTAATCTCTTCAGCACACTTGTTGTACTTTCGAATTTGGGAATGAGAACCAGCACGATAGACCAGATTTTTCAATTTCTTACTCTTGTATTTTTTATTGAAGTTGCTCACAACATGTCGTAAGCAAAATATGTGATGAGATTTAGATCCTATCCAACCATTATCTGGATTATTAACGGCTGATTTAATATCCTCATGTCAGTTAGATATCAAATATGTCTCTTCATGCGTAACAATCTTTCGTAGTTTTTTAAAAAACCAGCGACTCTCCTCATCAACAATGGCAAAAGCAAGTGGCAGCAAATGTCCATTGGAATCAACCATCTATTTGAAGTATAGGTTGAAACTTTTTAAAAGCTACAATACAATGACTGAATGGCCAAAAGACGGAATGAAGAATGACATGACTTGACTTCCCATAATCCTTGACTTTCTAGTCAATAAGCATTCCTAGGTTCATGTGCTTCATCATGTACATCCACTTCCCACACAATATGTTGCACTATTTGTTTATCTTTGCATCTGAACCTCTCGTACAACAAATCATGTTCTATAGCCACTGGTTCAACGATCAAACCCATGTTCTGTAGTACTATTCATGATGTTCATTCTCAAGTCATTGAACATGTTTGTAGAGATATTATGCTCATGACCCTCAAAATCCAATTGATCAAACACATCATATGTTGCAGTTCTCAACATACAAAACTATTTTCAGCAGGTACGTCTATATCCTCATCCACATTGTCACTTGGAGGAACAATTGGTTCAGGCTCACGGTCAAGGCATTGGCTCTCGTTGAGACATTGACTAGGTGTGTCATTGACTATGTTTCTAACACATACAAATAATTCCACCATCTGTGGGGAGGGCAATGCAATTGAGAACATTAGCACTAATGCATAGTGGTTCGAAATTGGATTAGGAATGAACTTAGTTGATCTTGAAGGTGTGAGAGTAGGGTGTCTATAAATTATTTTTAATTAATTGCCGCATACATCTATGTTCATGATAATCCAACCATGTCAACAAAATGTCCAAACTCAATACCACTAAACCTCCACATGGTGATCGATCATATTCAACTTCATTTACACCTTCCAACATACAACCATTCATATACAAAACAATTGACAAACATTTGGTTGTCATATTTTATCATAGAATAGAACAAACAAAAGTTAAATTTTGTAACTAAATCTAATTACACAAATAAATTAAAAAGTTTTAGTTAACTAATTAATAATGATAAATTCTAATTACCAATTAATTACATTAGTTAAAAAGATCTAAATCTAACTTTGTTCAAATATGTATACACTAATTAATTCTAAATTTATTAATGTTATGTAATTTATTTATCAATTTAATGTAATTATTTTAAATCTTTTATAATTAACATATAATAAAAAATAAAAACAACAAAATAAACATGGAGAAAAACATAAAACTCGCCTATAAAAAAAACATAAAACTGTAAATCAATCTACTAGATCATAAAACGACAAAAATGATCCATGTAACATATATACATATATACTAAAAAACAAAACTAATTATTAACTAAAAAAAAACATGGTCCTGAAAAAAAAAATCAATAAATAAATAAGAAAAAAAACTAACCTTTTCTGTGACAAGTGGTCAAAAAACTAGTTATAGTTGATGCAAGTGGTCCTAGAACCACAAGAATTGTATTGTAAAACAAAATTATTGCAAAAGTTAACTAAAAATACAAAAAAATAATACTTACCAATGCAGGCGATGGTGGCGGCCGGAGGGAAGCAGTGTTGATCAGCGGCCGGAGGGAAGCATCGGTGATCAACGGTGATTGGTGCGGTGAATGGAAGGATGGGGCAGATCGGGAGAGAAAGAGAAACAAAAACGCAATGGGGCCGGTGCTGTTTTTTTTAAAACCCTATTCCTGAAGAGACGACCAAGGCGCCAGTTGTCATCCATGCCATATGGGTCGTCTCTTGGTTTAAAGAAAAAAAAAATCCGCATAGAGACGACATGCTACGTATTTAAAAAAAATAAAAAGAATTGCGTGGTGCGCGACACAATTAAAAACTAAACTTGGTTGTCTCTCAAATAGACGACTAATAATTTTGATTCAAAAAAAAAAAATTGAAGCTCCACGTTGCAAGAGACGACCTCTTAGTGCCACTTCATAGGTCGCCTAGACCACTTGCTATTTTCCAAACATTATTTTTTAAAATAGTTTGGGAAGTGACAATATATTTAGAATAAGTTTTAAAATTAGTATTATTGAAAAAAAAAATCTGTCTGGTAATGTTTCCATTTCTTGTTTCTGTTTTCTAATTTTATTTAGAAATCTAAGTATTTTACAATTATTTATGTTTCTTATTTCTCATTTTCTAAAAACATTATAGAAACTTGGGAAACAACCAAAACAAGTTTCTTGTTTCTTGTTCCCGTTCCTAATTTTTTCCAACATAAATAAATATTTTTTTTATCATCTTTTAATATAATGATCTTAGGGTCATGCAATTCTTTATTAAACAGACCGTTTCTAATTAATTTGTTCCAACATAAATAAATATTTTGTTTTATCATCCTTTAATATATTGGTCTTGGGGTCATGCAATTATATTTTTTTTTATTAAACAGAAACAAGAAACAAGAAACGAAAATGTTATCAAACAGACTATTATTTTTTTCTCCTCTTCTCCCCTATCAGAAGTGTAATAAAAATAATAACAATAATAACAATCTTGACGGTGGTCATTTCAAAATTGAATTTACTTCCAAAATTTAAAATTTGGTGGAAGAGTCAAATTTGGAAGGGAAATGGAGTTTTAAATGAAGTTGGTGATAAGATCAACAATTTGATCACGTGAAAAACATAAATAAAACCAGGGGAAGGTACTACCTAATTTCCATGGCCATGGCCCATATATACGTACGTTCTTATTCATTTTGAAAGCTGAGTTTTTTCCATTATAAAACCCCATTTTCATAAGCTTAATCTTCCACACTCCCAAAACTTCTCAATTGCAAACCAAACCAAACCAAACCAAACATATTCTTCAATCTAAATCTCCTTAATTCTCTCTTACAAATCAAACATGCCGGCCGATTTTCGGAAGGGCAAGATGGTAACAATTTTGGGTATCGATGGCGGTGGCATTCGAGGCATTATTCCCGGAACTATTCTCGCTTTTCTCGAGTCTAAGCTTCAGGTATTAGTCATTAGTTATGCATACGAAGTTCAAATAATCTACCAAGAGTGGGTTTGAGTACATGCATGAGAATAATCGATTTTATCACAATGTTTGATTATATGCATGTATTTTCTTTTTTGTGGGTGTTCTGCTCCGACAGGAATTGGATGGTCCAGATGTTAGAATTGCAGATTACTTTGACATAATTGCTGGAACAAGTACAGGTGGTTTAGTCACGTCTATGCTTACAGCTCCCAATAAAAATAATCGACCTTTATATGCTGCAAAAGATCTCACCCGCTTCTATTTAGAACATGCTCCAAAGATCTTCCCACAGAGGAAGTTAGTTTCTCGCTCTCCTATGACTCCATTTCCAAACTTTTAACATTATGGTTTCATTTATTGAATTGGTTTTTTTTTTTATCTTTTTATTTTGCAACTAGTTATTTGTTAAGTTCGGTGGTGAATTTATTTGGGCAAGTTATGGGTCCCAAGTACAATGGCAAATACTTGAGGTCATTGATAAATGATCTGCTTGGAGATATAACACTTAAGCAAACGTTAACCGAGGTTGTTATTCCAGCTTTTGACATCAAGCTTCTTCAACCAGTAATTTTCAACACAATCGAGGTATGAATTTTTATTATTAATTACTACTTGATACTGAAAGTATTTATGATTTTCTTATCAATGAACTAATAAGGTAAAAGTTTAGGCAAAGTTGCTCGAGTTAAAGAATCCAAGATTGGCAGATGTTTGCATTAGTACCTCTGCCGCACCAACATATTTACCTGGTCATGAATTTCAAACTAAAGACTCCAAAGGAAATACTCATAATTATGATATGGTTGATGGTGGAGTTGCAGCCAACAATCCAGTAAGCTACTCCTCTCTCATTAGTAATAGTATATTTTAGGTTTGTTTGATTTTTCTTTTTTTTTTTTTAATTTAATTCCTATTATTTAAAAAGTATCATTTTAGCCTCTTACGTTTTAATAATTTTCAATTTAGCCTCCCACATTATTGATGAATATAAAAAGTGGCCGATAATAAATTTACCCAACATAATATTCAGTGAACTAGCAAAAAAAGAAGAAAAAAGTCATCTAAAGAATAAAATTCCAAATTTCTACTAATTTCATAGAAATTTGGAGGAATTAGAAACTTTACTCAAATAGATGACCTTTTTCCTTGTTAAAATTTACGCAAACTTCACTAAATCTGATGTTAGGTAGGGTTATCATCACCTAATTTTAACATTTATCAACGACGAGAAACTAAATTGAAAAGTATAAAATCATGAGACTACATTCAAAATTTTTAAACAATAGAGACTAAATTGAAAACATATCCGAACACGACCGATTACTAACATTTTGGGTTTAAATGGATATCTAGACATTAGCTGCCATGAGTCATATGACAAAAGAGATCAGCCTAATGAGACGAGGAATGGAGTATTTTAAGATCAAACCCATGGAAACAAAAAAGATGTTGGTCCTTTCTTTAGGAACTGGTGCCCCTAAAAATGATGGCAAGTATAGTGTATCCAAGTCTTCTAAATGGGGTATGCTTGGTTGGATCTACAACGGCGGAGCAACACCTATAGTTGACATTTTCAGCGATGCGAGTGGTGATATGGTCGACTATCATATTTCTAGCATCTTCCAAGCTTCAAATTGTAACAAAAATTATCTTCGTATTCAGGTATTTATTTTTACTAGCATTATTTGTATTTAACTTTGTATACAATTTCATCATTAAACCGCATGATGACCACCTACCTTAGGAACTAGTAATTCCTATGTGCTTCCAAGCACCAAATGTTGTAGGGTCAGGTGGTAGCTCCGTGAGATTAGTCGAGGTGTGCGTAAGTTGGCCCGAACACTCATAGATATAAAAAGAAAAAATCATTATTATTTTTTACTTCACCTTTCTAAAAACACTTTGAAATTTTGTAAATAAAAAATGTATTTTTTGAATAAATTTTTGGTTAAATTACAAGTTTTTTACGGTTGTACCTTTTTTTAGTACTTCAAGGTTGTGTGTCTAACAGGTTGACTTTAAAGAAATGTCCAATAGATCTCTATACTATCAATTTTGTGCTATAATAGATTCCTTAACCTACTCGCTATTTTTTTAATAGTCATGAATATATTGGACACATAACAAGTCGTGAATTTTAAAATAGCAAATAAGTCAGGAACATATTAGACATAATATTGGCAGTTTAAAGACCTATTAACCTATTACATACAACATTAAGAATTCAGAGACTTATTAGATACAATTAAAAGTTTAGATACCTATTAGACTATTGTTAAAGTCCAATGATCTATTAGACATAATTCTAAAAGTTCATGACAAAAACTTTAATTCAACCGAAACTACTTTTATAAGAAGATCTGATGTATGATTATGGATATGTACAGGATGACACATTGACTGGCGACGTATCATCCGTAGATATTTCGACCAAAGCGAATTTACAGAAGCTTATAGACGTGGGGGAGAGTTTGCTAAAGAAACCATTGTCAAGGGTAAATTTGGAATCTGGAAAGTTTGAGCCAGTTAATGAAGGTACCAATGAAGAAGCCCTTATTGAATTTGCTAAAATGTTATCAGAAGAGAGAAAGCTACGATTGAGCCCTTAGGCCTTAAAAGTCAATTTACTTGCTTGGAATTTTACCATTTTATCCTTATGATATGAATAAGTTTGTGTTTATACTTCAATATTTGTGTACAATAAATGGTACAAGAACTCAATTTTATCCCCATTAATAATAATCTAGGATTGTTCAATAGAATCTTGATCTTTGAAATTGACTACTAAAATATGTCTTATGATCCCAAGTCTTTTAGTTTTTTTTTTTTTTTTCCTTCAATTTGGTATATAATCTTTGGAAATTTATGTTGCGACTAAAAAAACAAAACCAAAATTAAAACTAAAACACATGCACTGCACATGTAAAATATTATAAAGATTAAGTTGTCCATTCATAAAATATCTAATATTAATTAATTTCACTCGTTAAAAGTGCCATAGTAAGAGAGTCAAAATATGATGATTTTTTCAAACACAAAAATAAAATTTATAACTGAAGAGCATTTTTTTTATAAAGGAATTTAAGAGTGGCATATACATACACACATATATACATAGACACGAAGTTTAGACTCTGAGAAAAAAGGCCAAAATGTTCTCCATCAATATTTTTACCAAATCTAACTTCCCAATTTCTCTCTCCATAATTAGTTGCTACAACGATACGAGCGAATAATTTAATTGATCAAAGACCCTATCTCTTCGATCTATCTTATAAAATAATATCATTAAAAAAAGAAAACATGCATGAATGGAAATATAACTTCGTTACCACTTGAATTGCTTATAAATTCAGGTAGAAAGACACATCTTGATGTAGATTTAGTCGAGATTTCCAATCTTGGCTTTTTCTCTAAAATTGAAAACTCTCATTTGTCTTAACAAAGAAAAAGAAGGATTGTTAAATCTTCTTAGAAATCGATCTAGGACTAACTCTCATATAAGGTTCAAGAGATTCAGATTAATTTAAAGGCTTGGAACTAAGGGTCGTTGCTTCTATTTTAGTTAGGTTGGAGGTTCGAATGTCCTACCCTTTAGAGTGGATTGTCCATACTCTTTTTTTGATTGTCCAACTGTACCCCTCAAGTCGAGGAACTAAAAAATATATGTTTATAACGTCTTAATAGATTGAAAAAGGATAATTTATGGTAGAGAAAAATGTTGTATTTTGAAATTGAATTTTATTATTTTTTTTATTTTGTCTCATTTGCAAATTTGAATTGGAGATCTGGAGCAAGAAAACAAACTCAACAGAAAAATAATAATAATAATAAAATTATGAAATTAAGAATAATTAGATAATCATTAACATGTGTGTAGAGGGCAAGAGTTTAATAATACAATATTGTTTGCATCGAAAAAGTGAATAACAAACAATAATTAAATTCCGTTTTATTAATGTTTCCACCATACTGTACATATTTATATAAATAAAAAACTGTAATTTAACATATGCTCTTTTTTTTTTCTAATTTTTTATTCATTGAATAACTGGATCGATGCTAATTTTTTATTAAGGTAAAAACAATGCTAGAGACAGGGCAATGTGCTGGGATTGAACCACGCAAATAAAATAATTGATCATTTAAAATTAGTGGCCGATTATTTTAGTTATTATTTCATTTTCTTCGATGACTTAGGATATTGCATTATCCAATTTTGGTAAAGTTTTAAATTTTTGTAATATCTAGAACATAAATTTATGTAATTGCTTCTAAAAAATTTATCAGGTGTTTTCTCATAAGCAGAGTAAACAGATTTTGGTAAGAAGAGGCAAATCACCCCTTTCTTTCACTGTTTGTCTGCCATGTTCTATATCAGACAAATTAGTGTTGGTCTAGCAAACATGTCACAAGTTACCATTTAGTCGATGACCTTTATTATCAAGTGAAACAAAATGACACACGTCAAAAGGTAAATTAAGCCGCGAAGGCAGGGTCAGGAAACCAACTCGGCATGATAGAGAGTACCGAAAAAGAACTGAGCATACCGCAACAGGGCAAAGCGCTCCTGCATATCCCATACGAACAACAATCAACATACAGGACGTTGAAGTCTTGTACCCTAGCTGATATTTGTCTCTAGGGACCACATAGGACACCGTAAGCTCCCTACTTGTGCTACAATAATAAAGATAAAAACAATGGGGAGAAAGATCCTAGGGAATTGATTTCAACTATTGAATCTATGAACCAACTACTTAATTACTCAAGACTGAACAAGTTATTAATTCTATAGGCCAAGAACTCTCAAATCTCAACGAACAAGTCTTTTAACGACCTCTTTTAAATCTCCCGATCTTAAAACCCCTTTAGTTATGCATCCCAGTTCTAACTCTAAACCACCTCTCCCAAGTGTAAGATTTCAAGTCTAAAATCAATCAATCTATGGCCAGTAGATTCAAGGTATTAAGTATAGAGAAGCATAAGTAGAACATTCATAAACATTCAATCAAGAAAACTAAACAATCAATGCATAAAGTTCAATGACTACATCAATCTCTAAGATAAGAGGTTTAGCTTCTCATATTCTATGAAAAACAATAAAATCACAATGAGAAGTCCATAATAAAACTAGAAAAACCAAGGGAAAGGAGAAGAAACTATGTTCCGCGTGTCAATTGTCCGTTCCCAAAGCGACCTCCACGATCCCGAGCCTTGAAAATCACTTTTCTAAGCTCTCTAATGGTCTCCTTGCCCTCCAAATTGGCCAAAAAAAGCAAACCGCCAAAAAACCTCTCCCAAACTCCCCCATCTCGACGGCTACACAACCCTATTTTTATAAAAAGTTGTCGCGGTAGCGCCATGACGCTACACACAGGGCCATGGCGCTACACTATTCACAAAACGCGAAATTTAAACTTCGGAGCGCCGCGGCGCTCTGGGCCAGCGCCGTGGCACTATTTTTCTCTCATTTTCATCCAAATAAGTCTCATTTTCTCCTGATACTTTATTCTTACAAAATGTATTTTATGTGCTTAAATTTGTCATGAAGAAACGAAAACTAACAAATAATTTCAATATAAATCTCATAAAATATAGCTTAAAAAGTGTGTTATTACCAATCCAAATTGTTGAGTTGGCCATATATAGGAACTGTCGGGCTTGAATTGGATGGTCAACCCAACCTAACCCAACCCAACTCAACCCAGCCCAATATTTTCGGTTGGGTTGTCGAGTTGAAGCTGCTGCAACGGGGCGACGATGAAGAGCTGCTTAATGGCAGAGACGAGGCTACGAGTCACGGGATATGATGCAACTGGCCAGTGACAGGAGCTGCTTCATGGCGGAGACGCTACAGGTCTCGAGATCTATTGCAACAACGGTAGAGACAGGGAGTTGCTGCAACGACGGTGTTGATTTTATCAAAGATTTAATCTGATCTTTGTGGATAAAGAAAGAAGAATGACGAACTTGATTATAATGGTCCAATCCCGTAGGATTTACATCCATTATGCTAACTGAGGTTCTTTCTTTATTCAGGATGACCAAGAAGGTTCTTGGAGTATACAACTATAAAAAAATTATGATGTCATTTTCTTTGTCCCTATTCTTTTAATTTGTGTTTGTTTGATTTTCGTTATTCTTAATTTTATTTTTAGAGTCTAAGAGTTGGTATGCGTAACCTCATTCACCCTCCTTTAGTGTTGCCATACAATACTACGCATACCTCTCCTCTGTAGGTGCTCAACGGTGGAAGAGGAGGTAAGCCTTCTCTCAAGCAGATTTTCACCTACAAGATTACTGCCTCCTTACTATTTCTGCTCCATATTCGTTTACTCACTAATTGGGTTTGAATTAAACATTAGAATGCATTTGATAGAGTATCACATCGATACTAGATTTTTATGTGCATGCGACAAGAGTTTGGAGACGAAACCTAGGTGGAACATGTGTAACACCTAATAGGACCTCACCCATAAATCACTATCAACAAATGGTATAGTTTATCCATATATAGTCTATCATGATTGAGAGAATTGCATAAAAATGTCTAAATGGCCTGGAAAATAAAATTTTTCATATTGAATAAATTATAATTGTGTTGCTATATTTGCATGCAATGTGAATTGCCACCCATCCATAAAGAAAATTCAAATAAAATAAAATATAATATAAATCCTCAATACAAAACGTAATTTTTCTTGATCGAACCATTTTCAATCTTATATCACAGTAAAGAAAAGTCAAGTTTTATAGATAAGCAAAATTGATGCCCATCATAATATCTCAAATATTTATATGTGGGACATTCATGTGAGTGGACTATATCGCATAATATATATAATATATAATTTAATACAACTGTTAAGGACAATGGTGCTCCAATAGATAAGATTTTTGGCCTAATCTGATAGAACATACCCACAGATTACCATGACTATACCTTCTAAGGCTCACCAATTCTTTGTTGGACAGTTTAGGATTCACCAACACAACTAGGTTCTTATACCACTGATTAAGGACAATGGTACTCTCGGTGTCCCAAGTATCTCCACAATGGTATGATATTGTTTATTTTGGACATAACCCTCACGACTTTATCAATGGAGATAATTGTCATTATTTATATATCTATGATCACCTCATTCCCTAATCAATGTAGGACTTTGTTTGCATTCACTCTACAAATCCAACAGCAACATCAACATCAACAGAAATGTTACCTAACAGATGTGGGGATGGGCTACTCAAACCACTCAAAATTGAAAATAAAGAATACAAAATATCTCTTCTGCAAAAGAAATACAAAATACGCAAAGTGACAATGGCCTATGAATTAAATTTATTCTAGAGAATTAAATTTCATTCATGATATTTTTATTTTCCCCACCAACTTTTGGCGCGTTTCTCTAAATTATTGATAGGGCAATTCAAAAGGAAAGTGAGGATTATTCTGTTTTTTGAATCATTAATTTTTATGAGTCTCTCATGTTGTCGTGTCGTGAAGCAGGGGTCGGTTCTTGCTTTAAGGTACGAGGTAGAACCAGCAATTATGCAACATAATGTGTAAATTTTGTCCCAAAAAAAGAAAAATTAAATTAAATTCCAAGTTTGGTGCCGAAAATTTTCGACTTGTTTCAATTTGGTCTCAAAAAATTTACAGCTGTGTTTATTTAGACGATATATTTTAAATTTCTTTTAAATTTAAGTTACTCAACTTTCAAATTTTATGTTTAATAAGTTTATGTTGGTTG